GAAATGGAGTGCCCCTTAGCACCCTCATGTCCATTGGAGGGCCATAGACCCTGCATCCATCTTGGAGCCATCAAAACCATAGAGCATAGAATAGAGAACACTGCAGGGACTGATCTTGCAGCATGGAGGAACCAAAGATCGAGCAAGTAGATCTTCTTCTCTATGTCCCCTAGACCCATATTATCCTTTTCAAGATAGCTGGAGCTGAACTTCTATGTGAAGCATCTAAGTAATTCTTCACATCATTTCTGTCTGTATGGAGATGGACTCTTGATCCCAAGGCTGCATTTATAGAGACAGGTATAGGCAGCATGTAAATTAGATATCCCAAAATATGTAGATGCCACTCTGAATAGTTGAATTCATGTGTTTAAAGTGAAGTGTACTGGTAATACCTCAGCATACAAAGACATTTTAGGCAATCATATGCTTCCAGTCTTGTGGCATCTGTTTGGAAAAGACCCTTTCTGTTCCAACATGATTGTGCCATAAAGACCTGGTTTGATAAATTTAGTGTAGAAAAAGTTGAGACATCCTGTACAGAAACCTGACCTAAAACACCTTTCCAAAAAATTGGAAAGCCTACTGTGAGGCAGGTTTTTGCATCCAACATCAGTACATGACCCCAGAAAGGTTCTTTTTGGCTAAATGGTTACAAATTCCCACATACACACTCCAAAATCTTATAGAAAGCCTTCCAGAAGAGTGGAGGATATACTAACTGCAAGGAAAGGGAGATGGGGACAACTCCTTATTAATGTCCCTGGTTCTGGAATGGGACATTAAAAAATCTAACCTCATATAGGTGCGATGGTCAGGTGTCCACAAACTTCTGACCATATACTGCAACCTCTGTCAACCAGGGTGCCTTGTGGATTCATCATGAGTGTCTTGGCAAAATACCTAAAAATTGCCCCAAATTGCCAAAAAATTGTGTCAGTGGGTGGACCAAGGTTTTTTCATTGTGCAACATTACAGCCTTGAGCACCAGTGCAGGTCAGCCACCAGCATACTAACAACAGCAGATGTCTTCAGTTGATAAGGAGGACGTTGACCCCCTGCCCCTCTCTGTCAGCACTATGGTCACATTAGCTATGTGGGGGAGAACACATGAGGGAGAAGAAATAATGGAATACTAGTAAGTACCAGTGTGCAAAGTGCATTTACTTTGTAAAAATAAATCACCTCTAATGTCGAGTGTCCTACATGTGTGAATGTTGCTGCAATAGGTAAAACTAGTAGGTTTTTATTTTTTTATCATTTTAGAATGGGATGCTTAGATATTGTGCAAAATTGACTGCAAAAAGCTTGAGAAACACTGATATAGTGTATAATATAGATTTTTAAAATGGACATATGCATTTTTATAAATATTTAACACTCACACTGTAACAAGACATCGCTGAAAGTGTTGAAATTCTAACCTGAGCATAAAAAAAAAAATGATTTCTAGAGTCACACGAACAATGCGTTGATCATGTGGTCTCGGCAAAAAAGGCAGAATCACCATTTAAACAGAAACAGTAATGGACTGGCTCTGCATACACATCAGTCCCTCTGGCAGAGGTCACATGACTAATGCTTTGGCAATGGTCATGTGACCCAGCAGTGGCTTGATGTCAGAATCGATGGGCAGCACAGTGGCTAAGTGGTTAGCACATCTGTCTGGCAGAACTAGAGTAATTTGCTCAAATCCTAGTCATGGCACTACCTGCACAGTGTTTGTATGTTCTCCCTGTGCCTGCATGGGTTTCCTCTCACACTCCAAATACATGCTGGTAGGTTAACTGGCTCCTCTCTTAATTGGCCCTAGTATGTGTGTGTAAGAATGCAAGGTAGGGACCTTGAGTTGTAAGCTCCTTGGGGGGGGGTTAGAGACTGATGTGAATGTACAATATATGTAAAGCGCTGCGTAAACTGATGGCGCTATAAAAATACCTGTAATAAATACATAGAGTCCCCTTTTTGTTTAGTAATTTTTTAGCACTTTTAATTACCTATTATTGCAGCATATGTATAAAATATCTATTTAAATGGAAAAGCTCATAATTAATGTAGTACCACTAATGGTATGAAGCAGGCCTTCTGCTAAGACAAGAACTGCCTTTTGTATTCCCCAAAACTACCAATACGCTTCTATGGTATGTCTTAAATGCAACATACAGCCGGTGTCTACACTCAGTGGCATTGTTTCATATGCAATACTCCTCCATATTTTGTGGCTCTGTCTTATTGAAGATATCCACAGATTTGTCGACTCACCTAATGATTTTACACCCATATTTGTTTTTATACTCTGCAAGTACACAAAATGATCAACTTCAGATCTAGTGGATACATCAGTTTGACATGCGTGATTTTGCACTGCCATCTTTTGGTTACAAGTGGTACTACTTTATATATGTATATACAGTATCTTTGTATACCAAGCGTCAACTATAAGTATCTTAAAAAATGAAATGACCCTTTTACTTGTCATACCTAATCAATTGTTCAACTATTAAAACATGATTACAAAGATTTTTCTCTAATTATCGCCCCATGACAATATTGATTAAGCAGCCTTAAACATGACACGTTTCCTGAAAATTCAATGTCCGCTTCATCGGGAGTATATAGGGTCAGAACTCTAAAGACACCATTAGAACATCATAAAATGTATAATTACATATGATGTATAGCTAAATACCTAGAATTCATTAAAGCAAGTACTACTTTATGCTCATTACATAGCAGGGGCGGACTGACCATTTGGAAACTCGGGCACTGCCCGAGGGCCTGGGGTCAGTAGGGGGCCCCATGAGATGCCCCTGGTACATTTTTCATAGGCTTTTTTGATTTTGGGCAAGGAAACAGGGGCTCCATGATCCCCTATTGCCCAGGGGCCCCATGAGTTGTCAGTCCGCCCCTGCTACATAGCCCATAGTTCATAGTCCGTCTCAGAAGTGAGCAAGAGAAGGGGCCACCCTCTAATAAAAAGTCAGAACAGAAGTGGAGGGGGCTGAAACCAAGGTACTTTTCTGAGTTAAGCATACTTTACATACCTTACATACTTGAATAGATCACTTTTTTTTTTTTCAAACCAGCGTTTACTGTTATTATAATTACAGTTACAGCTAGAATGTGTGTATTGTTTTGGCTATAGTGAATTGTATAGCTTCTTTCTCCTCTGTGTAGGGCTCATATTCTTCTAAAAAGAGACACTTTGCACTGATGAGACGGAAGAAGAAGGCTGTGGAGAAAGTGAAACAGCAGTCTGAATATACAGTGCATGGCCTACAGATGCAGGTAAATCATCATGCTGAACAGTTAATAGTGATTGTATCAGATAGCTTGTCCATAAAAGAGAAGTGAGTGCTGTGTAGATCACTGACAAAGCTGCCGCACATAACACGTCTAATTCTTGTAAAACAAAAAAATGTGAACAATTGCTTCTCCGTTGTACCTATAACATGCATTAAATCAGGGATGCATTTCTGCAAACACAGGCAGTGGTCTTGGGTGGCAGGATTGCTAGGGGGTAATTATTTGTTTCCAGGGTGGTGTGCACCTAGCGTCATCTTAACATGACACCATACAAGGTGTAGGGGGGAGGAACAACACCAAAAACCTAGGCATCAAAGAGTATATTTTGCCACAGAGGTCCTAACAAGAAGCCAACATGTTTCAGGGGATATAAAGTTTTCCACTTCATTAGGGTTTGAAGGACAATTAATTTCTGGTATGGATATTTTTATGCTCCAACTTAGACCAATGTATCAATGCATATACCTTACGTGGTCTATTATTATTATATTATTATTATACAGTATTTATAAAGCACCAATAGTTCGCTCATTACAAAGGGGGACAGAACATGTGACAGAACAATACCAATACAATGCAAAACATGAGGGGATTGAGGGCCCTGCTCTTTGGAGCTTACAATCTAGGAGGGAGGGGATAGTGGTACAGGAGGAGATAGCTGTGGGGGATGGAGTGGTAGGAAGAGTGGAGGAGGTTTGCAAGTTGGCAGGGGGTGGGGTAGGGTTCCCTGAAGAGATGGGTTTTCAGGGTGCGCCTAAAGGAGAGGAGAGTAGGTGATAATCTGATGGGTTGGGGCAGGGAGTTCCAGAGGATGGGCGACACCCTGGAGAAGTCCTGGAGGGTCTATCCCAAGGCAGCTGGAAATCACTGTTTAAGGGACTGCTACTACAGTGATCTCCACTAACTTCCACGTCCTGTGCTGAGTGACTGCTTACTGGACACAGGAGGTTGCCTGCTTGGCACTGGCTTCATTTAGAAAATACTTTGCATGTTCTCAATGGATGCAAGGTGTTCTCAAGGTGTTGAGGTTGGTTGGTGACAACACGATCTCCACCTTGTTCAATTGAAGAATGCTTTGCATTAACTGAGACTTTAGTAGTAGTGCCTATTTCAGTGATTTCCATTTTCCAAGTTGATCGGCCAGGTATTGTGCATGCATAGTTATAGTGGTCTAAGCAGGACCTGGACCAATGTTACATAGTTACGTAGTTAGTCTGGCTGAAAAAAGACAAAAGTCCATCCAGTTCAACCATAGAAAAAAAAAAGTTATAATCCTATACCCACAGTTGATCCATAGGAAGGCAAAAAAAACCCCCAGCAAAGCATGATCCAATTTGCACCTGCTGGGAAAAAAATTCCTTCCCGATCCCCCAACTCTTGAGGGAGTCTATACCACATTTTCCCAGCTCTCACTGTGAAGAAACCTTTCCGTGTTTGGAGATTAAATTTCTTTTCCTCCAGATGTAAAGAGTGCCCCCTTGTCCTCTGTGATGACCTCAGGGTGAATAGCTCTACACCGAGTTCACTATATGAACCACTGATGTATTTATACATGGAGATCGTATCCCCCCTTATGTATTATACATGGTGATCATATCCCCCCTTAACCTCCTCTTCTCGAGAGAATAAATTCAGTTCCTCTAATCTTTCCTCATAGCTGAGCTCCTCCATGCCTCTTATCAGTTTGGTTGCCCTTCTCTGTACTTTCTCCAGTTCCCCAATGTTCTTCTTGTGAATTGGTGCCCAAAACTGAACTGCATATTCCAGATGAGGTCTTATGCAGGCCATAGATGGGTTCGAAAATCGGCCGATTTTTCGGCCGAAAATAAATCGGCCGATTTTCAGGTCGTTAGTGGGCTATTTGTTCGGCCGTTTTTCTGTATTTTGGCCGTTTTTTTTTTTTCCGCTAAAGTTGGAAAAAAATTGGCCGATTTTTCCGATTGGCCGATTTTCGCGGCAATAGTGGGCAAATCGGCCGATTTTTACCGATAAAAAATCTGCGCATGAGCAGTGACCTGCAAGAGGAAGACAAAAAAGAAGAAGAAGAGGATGAGGATGAAGAAGAAGAGGATGAGGAAGGAAGAAGAAGAAGAGGATGAGGAAGAAGAAGAGGATGAGGAAGAAGAAGGAGAAGAGGATGAGGATGAGAAGAAGGAAGAAGAGGATGAGGAAGAAGAAGAGGATGAGGAAGAAGAGGAGAGGAGAGGAAGAAGAAGATGAGGATGATGAAGAAGAAGATGAGGATGATGAAGAAGAAGAGGATGAGGAAGAAGAAGAAGAAGAAGAAGAGGATGAGAAGAGGATGAGGATGAAGAAGAAGAGGATGAGGAAGGAGAAGAAGAGGATGAGGATGAAGAAGAAGAGGATGAGGATGATGAAGAAGAAGAGGATGAAGAAGAGGGATGATGAAGAAGGAAGAGAAGAGGATGATGAAGAAGAGGATGAGGATGATGAAGAAAGAGATGAGAAGAGGATGATGATGATGATGATGAAGAAGATGAGGAAGAAGAAGAGGATGAGAAAGGAAGAAGAAGAGGATGAGATGATGAAGAAGATGAGGAATGAGGATGAAGAAAAGAGGATGAAGAAGAGGATGATGAAGAAGAGGATGAGGATGATGAAGAAGAGGATGAGGATGATGAAGAAGAAGATGAGGATGAAAGAAGAGGATGAGGATGAAGAAGAAGAGGATGAAGAAGAAGTAGGATGAAAATAAGAGGAATTCCAGTCCAGCAAAAAGTGTCTCTGCAGAGAGCTCCGCTATTTCTTTGACAGTTCTCTGACAGTTCCTTGACATTTACAGCGGTTGCAACATTGTATCTGTTTGTTTCCGAATAAAAACATCTGTATCCTAAATGGAAACAAATAGATACATTGTTGCAACCTCTATAAATGTCAAGGAACTGTCAAAGAAATAGCGGAGCTCTCTGCAGGGACACTTTTTGCCGGCTGTAGACGGGATGAAAATCGGCCGATTTTTTTTACCATTGATGGTAACGTCGGCCGCTTGAACGACCGATTTTTCGTTTTTTAAAAGAAAAATCGGCCGTTTTTTCTCCCCGTCTATGGCCTGCATTACTAATGATTTGTAACGGGGTAATATGATATCTCTCTCTGGAGTCTGTATCTCTTTTAATACCAGAGAGGATTTTGCTCGCTTTACAGTAGAACCCGCAGCTTGGCATTGCATGCCATTATTAAGCTTGTGATCTACCACAACCCCCAGATCCTTCTCCACCATTGATTCCCCCAATTGTACCCCCCCTAGTATGTACGATGCATGCATATTCTTAGTCCCCAAGTGCCTAACCTTACATTTATCAACATTAAACCTCATTTATTTTATTTTATTTATTTCAGGTACTTATATAGCGCCGTCAATTTACGCAGCGCTTTACATATATATTGTACATTCACATCGTTCCCTATCCTCAAGGGGCGTACAATCTAAGGTCCCTAACTCACATCATATACAAGGGCCAATTTAGACAAGAACCAATTCACCTACCAGCATGTCTTTGGAGTGTGGGAGGAAAACGGAGTACCCGGAGGAAACCCACGCAGGCACAGAGAGAACATGCAAACTCCAGGCAGGAGGTGCCATGGCTGGGATTCGAACCAACGACCCTAGTACTGCCAGGCGGAAGTGCTAACCATTTAGCCACTGTGCTGCCCATTTGCCTCATAGTTGCCCAATGAAACAATGCATTGAGGTTGGCTTGTAAATTGGAGACATCCTGTAAGGACGTTATTCAACTGCACAGCTTGGTGTCATCTTCAAAGACTGAAATTGGATTTTTAATCCCAGACCCTATATTGTTTATAAATATATTATTAAAAAGTAAGGGACCCAACACTGAACCTTGGGGACACCACTGATGACCCTAGACCATTCAGAGTATGAATCATTAACCACTACTCTCTGAATACGATCTTTTAGCCAGTTTTCTATCCATTTACATATGGATTTTTCCAAGCGCATAGACTTTACCTTACACATTAGCCGTCTGTGGGGAACTGTGTCAAACGCTTTTGCAAAATCCAAGTATACCACATCCACCGCCACCCCTCTGTCCAAGTATACCACGTCCACCGCCACCCCTCTGTCCAAGTATAAAACGTCCACCGCCACCCCTCTGTCCAAGGATTTGCTCACCTCCTCATTAAAAGAAATAAGATTTGTTTGACAACTTCTGTTTTTCATGAATCCACGCTGTCTGTTGCTTAAAATATTTTTTTCCAGCAAGAACTCATCTAGGTGGTCTTTTATTAAACTCTCCAGTATCTTCCCAACTATAGAAGTTAAACTAACAGGTCTATAATTACTTGGTAAAGATTCTGACCCCTTTTTTAAATATTGGCACCACATTGGCCTTACGCCAATCCATTGGTACTATGCCAGTCATTAAAGAGTCCCTAAAAATTAGAAACCATGGCTTTGAAATGACAGAGCTCAATTCCTTAAGGACCCGTGAGTGTATGCCATCCAGTCCAGGTGCTTTATTCACCTTTATTCTGTCTAAATATTTTTGGATATCAATTGTGAGTCAATGTGGATCACCTAGAGCTGTGTCAATACCATGCCCATTATGGACAAGAGCTCCCCCAGGCTCCTTTGTATAAACAGAGCTGAAGAAGGTATTAAATAAATTTGCCTTCTCTTTGTTCCCAGTAACCCACTCTACATTATTTTGTAAAGGGCCTACATGCTGGACTGGACCTTTTTACTATTAATATATTTGAAGAATGTTTTGGGCTTGGTCCTGCTATCTTTTGCAATCTGTCATTCGTTTTCAATTTTTGCGGTCTTTATTTCCTTTTTGCATATTCTGTTATATTCTTTGTAATGTTTAAATGATGATAGCATGCCTTCATTTTTATATTGAATAAGGATAAATAAAGGCTCTTCTCTTATTATCTATAGCCTTTTTAACTTTGGCCGTAAGCCACATAGGTTTGATTTTAGCCTTTTAAACTTGTTGCCCATGGAAATATATTTTGCAGTGTGTTCACATACAGTCTTTTTGAAGAATCCCATTTCTGTGTTGTGCTCATCAATGCCAATATTCCCTCCCTCCCAAGTCTAAGTCTTGGAGAGCAGCTCTCAGCCTTGGAAAATTAGCTCTCTTGAAATTGAGTGTTTTTAATTTTCCCGTATGTGCTTTCTGTTTACAGCTAACAATAAATGAAATCATGTTATGGTCACTGCTACCCAGATGTTCCTTTATATGGACATTCGTAATAAGCTCTGCATGGTTTGAGATGACCAGGTCCAGCAGAGCATCATTCCTAGTAGGGGCCTCTATGAACTGTACCATAAAATTGTCCTGTAGTAAGTTTAAAAATTTTTGCCCTTTAACTGTTCCTGCAGTACCATTACTCCAGTCAATTTCCGGATAGTTAAAATCTCCCATTATTATCACTGTCCCAGCCCTTTCGATCTGTGCAAGGTGCTGAGTCTCCACCTCCTCATTAACACGGAGAGGCTTAGAGCAAACTCCAATGATTACCTTTGTAGTACGCACCCCCATGTGCAGTTCCACCCATAATACTTCAGCCTCATCACACTCTCCATCAACTAGGTCCTCTTTCACACTCGCTCTGAGATCACTTCTCAGATAGAGACATACATCACCACCACCACCTTTCCTATGTAAAAATATCCACACCTGGATGTCATGTTTAAATGAAAAAGTAAAGCCCAACTGATTACATACTTGCCTTCCTCACCATTCCAGTGATCTCCACTGTACAACCCTGACAGACCCTCAAGTTTTTCCACTGGAAGCTTCCCATGCTGGGTCCTCTTCTTAGTGTACATGCACTAGTGGAATGAACGGGTACAAGTGGACACAAAGAACTAAAAACAGGACCCAGCGGGTATGTTTTCAAAGCAAAGCACAGGCAGGGATGGGCCCCACTGTGACGTTTGCTAGAATGTAAAGTAAAGCACACTCCAAACCTCTCAATTCTGCCCTGGCTGAAGGACTTGTAAAATCACACATTTCCTTTTATATTACAGGTGGATGACCTCATTGAAACAATAGCAGAGAAATCCAGCAAGCTCTTGGAGCAGAGACACGAGGAATTACGTCAATGTCAGTCTCTGGGAGATGAAATCCTTCAGTGTTCAAAGCAGTTCCAGAGAATTTCCAAAAAGAACACCAGAAAGTACAAGTTTAAGAATGTCTGTTTTCCATGTATCTGCTGTTGTTACTAGGATCACGTACCCTGGGATTTATAAATGGGGTATGTAGCGCTAGAGAACAGATGACAAGCACAGGGACTGTTACAATATGAAGTAATCACATAGAAGTTCATATAATGACTCATATATATCAGTCAGAAGCAAAACAGAGATGATCCAATGCTGCTCCAGATCACATTCGGTGAGATATAGGAAGATAGTGAGGTTGTGCGCTTACCACAAGTACACACAATATGAGCATTGTATGCAATTCAACAGCAACCGGGCATCATGGTCTGGTCAATAGCCTGGGCACCCTCTGGTCATATCCGAACATCCAGGACACAGGTACACCGCTAACCAAGCTCCCTCTGGCTTTCCAATCCAAAACGTCACCTTACATAAGCTCATTAAAAAAACGAGCCGGGAGGCAAGAAAGCGCTTATAGTGAAGTACGTTTATTAAAAACACAAGATGTAAGCAGAACGACCAGAACTTACATCGACAAACTATACATCCAGGCCCAAATGGTTAGGCTCCTGGTGGTTAGTGGTTAATACAACATGCACTGCATGTTTTTTTTTTTTTTTTTTTGTTGGACCTGGATCTGTATGCAGTGCATGTTGTATTAACCACTAACCACCAGGGAGCCTAACCATTTGGGCCTGGATGTATAGTTTGTCGATGTAAGTTCTGGTCGTTCTGCTTACATCTTGTGTTTTTAATAAACGTACTTCACTATAAGCGCTTTCTTGCCTCCCGGATCGTTTTTTTAATGAGCTTATGTAAGGTGACGTTTTGGATTGGAAAGCCAGAGGGAGCTTGGTTAGCGGGTGTACCTGTGTCCTGGATGTTCGGATATGACCAGAGGGTGCCCAGGCTATTGACCAGACCATGATGCCCGGTTGCTGTTGAATTGCATACAATGCTCATATTGTGTGTACTTGTGGTAAGCGCACAACCTCACTATCTTCCTATATCTCACCGAATGTGATCTGGAGCAGCATTGGATCATCTCTGTTTTGCTTCTGACTGATATATATGAGTCATTATATGAACTTCTATGTGATTACTTCATATTGTAACAGTCCCTGTGCTTGTCATCTGTTCTCTAGCGCTACATACCCCATTTATAAGTCTTATTCCAAGGTTTTGAGGCTTACCCTGTATGTTAGCTGCTCACCTGATCTGTTTGCGCTCACTTACCCACCTTTATATACGTACCCTGGGATGGCTGAGATCGGCCCACTTTGTGATAGCTGATAGAACTAAATGTTCAAAGCTTGCTAATAATAACATAGTGAACCTGTTTTTTCTGCTTTCTTTGCACGTAAGCAAATTGCTGACGTAAGACAAAAAATAAAAAGCGATTGAAGCATCTTTGATTTTAATATATCACAAAGAGAAAACAGTGCCATTAGGAATGAAAAAGTGGGAGTTCTCAATTCTCCTATATAATGGTAACAATTGAGAAATTCGAAAAGCTGCAATTTTGACAGAATGCATCAATGTCTTGTTCACACCAGGCGCGGTGTGGCAACACGTGCAAGATCTCATGTTTTCTGCACCACACTATCTTTTGCAGACACGCATAGTTGCCTTTAATTCTTAATGCTTCCCCCCAACCATCTAGCAAACAGGTGCGTGTTCACACCCGCCAAAACCCATGGTACCACAGTTTGGTGTGATTTTAATTTTTTTTTTAAATGGACTGCCCTAAATGTGACGCGTGGGAACGTGCACCTCTGAGATAAGAGATGTGCATTCTCTCCTGAATCTTGGTGTACTTTGTGTATTTCCTCCAGATCTGTGGAAGAATGGGGGGATTGGGTGCACTGCGCAGCCCGCTCCTAAATCTGTGCAGGCTGGATACCGTTCATGTATGTGATCCAGCCAGCATGTGCTGCCCACCCATAGTAAATGTACTGTAGGTGGTCGGCAAGTGGTTAAAGCAAAGTTTTTCTGTCTAGAGTTCAGCATTCAGCACTAGTGGCTTGATCGGGAGGACGTCATATGACGTCCACCCGGAGTGAGGAAAGGCTCACCCAGACATCATCTGCTATTGGCCGGGTGGGAACCAGGTAAAGGGTGCAATGGACTATTAATGGCTCCTAAGGATTAGGTATGCTCCTATATTCATCCTAGATTTGTTCTTTGGCCAAAATAGCCCTTCCATTAGCTTCATTATTTTACAGAAAGAAATTAAAACAACACAAACAAGATTAGAAAAAAAAGCTGCAGGACACGAATAACACAAAAAAAAACCCCAAATTGGGCATATTTATAAATCTGCGAATCTGACACTCAAACATTAACTACAGGAGTGACTTTGAAGAGTATGTGTTTTAAATGACAGTGATTGATTCACCACCAATGAATGTTTAGTAAAAGTAACATTAAAAGACTAATGTTGGATTAAAAAAAAAAGCAAACAATCATACTCACCTAAGTGGATGCAGCATTGTTCCGATGCTGCCTCTGTCCCTCACTGCCTCCAAGACCGAAAACTGAGAGATCAACCGCTGATCGCTCAGTTCCCGGTGTTCAGTGATTAGAGAGTTGATGATTTCAGTCACTGGTTCTCTGCTCTGCCCCTCCAGCACTCACTAGAGCATTGGGATGTGGAGGGGGTGGGAGCGGCTGACTGAGGCCAAAAAGTTGGGATCCCAACTCCCAACAAAGAGTCTGGACCAGCTGAGTGATGCCAACCCACAGCAGACTTTATACTGAAAACACATAGTGCATTCCTGTGACCCATAGGAGAAATAAGGCCAAAAGAGTTTTGTCCTACTTCTCCTTTAACCTTTATATGCCCCTAAAGGAAATAAATGAAACTACAAAAAAAAAAAAAACCCCTCCAAAACGTCCCCTAAAATGTAAAAAGTAGATCTTTTGTTGTTCAAGCAAATGTACCTAGGCAACTCAATGAGCAAAGGTGTGAGTTTCCATCTTGGCAACATTTAACTCTGAAATGCAATTTTGCCAACATCAATCTGCTCATTCCCTAATTGTCATGCTTTATTTCTTTAAATTTTAGTTCAACTTTACCAGAAACCTGCCTATGCAGATAAGGGGTGTCTGTGGATAATAACAAAAGGTGTGTCTCGGACTAAAGTTTAATAATACCCTTGCTATAGGTGTAGGCCATTTATGTACCTTATGATGCCTGACTGGAATACTCCCAGGATGTTGCTAAGTGAGGCCTACTAAGGTCTCAGGAGGTATGGAAATGGCCCACACCTGTAGCAGGGGAATTTTTTTCAACTTTGGTCAGAGCTGCACAGTTTGTTTTTAACTACAGACGCCCCTTGTCTGCAAAGGCAGCTCTTTGGTAAAGGTGAACTATGTCTTTAAAAGTGGTTGTAAAAGAAAAAAAAAAAAACAAAAACCACAACAAACATGTCTATACTTAGAATTCTACAGAGTGGCCCGATCCTCCTCTTCTTGGGTCCCCTGCCAGTGCTCCTAGCTCCTCCCCTCTTGCTGGTGCCCCCAAATAGGAAGCAGATTCTCATAGGGGCACTTGTGCAGGATCATTCTCGAGTCCCGCTCCTGCATCCATTGACACAGACAGCGGGACTTGGCCCCACCTCCTGCTCCCTCATCACTGGAGCTGAATGACAGGAGCGGGAGCCAATGGCTCCTGCTGCTATTGATCTGCCCAGTGAGGAAGGACAAAGCCCGGACAGCTGCAGCTCTCATTCACAGCGCTGGATTGCAATAGGGCTCAGGCAAGTATGGGGGGGCAGGGGGAATACATGAAGGTAAAAAAAAACATTGAGGCTTTAGAACCACTTTAAGCTAAAATCCTGTCAGATAGTAAATATAAAAAATGTATTTTCACATACAATTAAAATACATACCACAAACATGATGTATAAAGTGTAGAAACTGATAGCAGCCATTTCACATGTGTCAGAGCAGTGAAATATTGATTGATTTATATAGATTTGTTTTTTGACTTACTGAATAATTCTGATAGTATAAAAAAAGAAAGTTAATGAACAGCAATGAAATCAAAATCTTACTCCATTTTATTTTAACTTTAAAAAAAAAAAAATGGTTCAAATGCAAAACAAATATTTCCTGTAAAAATCTATACCAGAGACAGAACATAGCTTTTGCTTTTATGATGTGTTAAAATAGGACAGGGGCTCTAGCCCTTCTTGCTCTGTCCAAAAGTTAAAAAAAAGTTCTGGTTGTAGTTGAACTATAAAGCAGCTTCAACATGAAATCCAGAATATTAAAGAATATATAGAAAACATGGAGCTAAACTAACAAGACACAAAAAAAGGTGTATGTCTACTGAGTTCCAGTTTCCATCTGCACATCTTGAGATTCTTCAGCCAGTTTCTCATCATCTAGAAAACAAATAAAGAAATAAGTATCCCATATATTCATCTGCCCCTTTTTTTGTCATTCAGTCTGCAACACTGTATCTTGTACCCCTGTAGGTGATTAAGGTGACTTGTTGCAAACAAAAAAATGTGTCTTTCCGATCTTCACCCTCTTAAGGATCTACACTGGCTGAAGCATCTCTAGCATTCGACATACTTTCATGAGTGTCAAATGCCCGATTCTTCACTATTCCCTGGCTTCTATGTCACTACTGTTGTTCTTCTGTAGTCACTTGGGTGTTCGCAGAAGGAACCACATAATTCACAGGGTGAGTAATAAATATTTTTTTCACAGGAAGACTTTTTTTTTTGGTGCTTGACACACATGTAGATATTAATTTCAATCAATCAGAAATAAGAGATGAAATTCTGCCACAGCAGACTGCTTGCCAACATCGAAACCTCACTACATTGATCAATTCACGGGTGTGTGGTTTACAATACCAATTCAATTTTCACTTTTTGTCACATCATCAAATATTCATTTTAATTATATTAACCTCCCTAGCGGTATGATTATTTCAGATTTGTGGTGCTGAAAGTGGTACATTATTTTGCATGGAAATATGTAGTTTTTTTATTGTAGGCTGTAATATTTAGGAATAATTCACTGAAATCTGTCTGAACAAGAGTCTAGTAAATATCCGGGTATGATAAAATTTGAAACACGAAATCATAAATTATAATTTAATAAATAATCATAAAAAATAATATATAATAATAATACATTTAATTCAATAATATAATCAAACCAAAAACACTGAAATTTGAAATATAGCGCCAAGTTCGCACATCACTGAGCAAAGTCGCAAAATCGTTTTCAGTGTCTGATGACGAATTTCCCCACAAATCATTATCACTCAATTCTGCAAGTGGTTCTGATTTACTATCGCTGTTCTCTAGATGATCTAAACCCGTTTTTTACCTAAAGGGATGCTTTTGGGACGCCATGGACTTTTCTAAGTTTCCAGGCAGAAAGAACAGTCAAAATGCAGGCAGGGGACAGGACAAAGCAGTAGGGACAAAATGTATGTGAAATGGTTTGAAACAGCAATGTTTTACTATGTAAAATTCGTTTTGAAAAAAAAGAAATTTTTAAAAATTTTAAAATTTCCCGCCGGTTCCAGCGCCCGTACGTCCCGACATCACAGGGACCAGAATACAGAAGCCGGATGCCGGCATCGGCTGGAGGAGATGGCCGGGGACGCTGCAGGGGACACATCACGGGAGTGAAGGACAAGGTAAGCTCTGCAGGGAATCCCTATGCAGCGCCGCATGGTATTCCCAAGTGTAGCTCGGGGTTACTGCTTTTGGTACTGACATTTTACCCCGAGCTACACTCGGGAATACCGCTAGGGAGGTTAATAAATGTTTGCCTACCTTTAGCTTACTTTAGACTGATCAGCGATCAGATGATTGGTTGGTACGGTATAGCACACACTGTGGTTGCTTTTTACCTTACAAGCAAAGCTCATCTACTCACATCCCTGACACTTTCAAAAGGATAAATATTGGACAGCAGAGCTTACTTTCTAGGGTTTGCTGGAGTTCATGAATGGTGCTGAGGAGGACGTGGAACTGTTTTCGTCTTAACTCCAGCTAAAAGACAACAAAGACAAATATTGATGAATTCATTTCCAAACACTATTATATAATTCTATAAATGTACATGTACAGATAATTATCATTTCATTCTAAATGTGCCTGTGTTTTGTGCTGTCTGGTTCTTAAATACCAGAGGGCTAAATGTAAAAGATAAGCAGAAAACACAAACAGAAGAGTAAGGCAGGCCATAGACGGGCCGTTTATCGGCCGATAAACGAAAAATTGGTCGGCCCCGTTGCTGATGCTGCCACCCATGTCCACGAAAAATGGCCATTTTTCACGGATTTTCCAGCATGACCGATAAAAATAAATGAGGAGATCCGTGAAAAACGGCTGATGGGCTGGCCCCACTAACGGCGTGATTATCGGCCGATTTTTCGTGCCGACGAAAATTCGGCCAATAAACGACCCATCTATGGCCTGCATAACAAGTGAATTTACTGATCATTAATCAGTAAGGCATTATCAGCCAATCCATAATTTTCTTCTTTTTTTTTTAAACTCAGAACTGTTTAAAAGGTAAAATCTGACTAGTTCTTATGAAATTTTGCATAACATTACCCTTTGCACTATCACTTATGTATGTATTTTAGAGAATATGCAGCTCTACAAATTTAGGTATAAGTGGCATGTCAACTGACCCAAAACTTCACTACATCAAGTTGCTGCACACCGATACCTTAATTTAATGTCATATGACACTTATATCTGATCTCCATGTTTAATGTCCTTTTTAAATAGATGATTTGGGCCAGGTTGGCCCAAACAAACTATTACTGCATTAACAGGCGTGCTTGCTGGGCAACTTCCCATCTCTCTCCCGGAACAAAGTGGTCAGGCTGAGCGCCACTCAGCCATTCATGGGAAGTTTTAAAAAGGTTTATGAAAAAAAAGCATACGTGTACAGACAATAATATTAAAATAAAGGGAAGGAAAGGTCCCACAGCGCAGCTGGGTGATATTAATATATCAGTGACAAACATATCCAGCAAAACAGCATATCAATGATGAGATGACCCCCAAAACAGGAATGGTTTTACAGGTGGAGGCCACTGCCATTTTTTCCCTACTCATCTTTTCTGTTTTCACTAGTTTTGCATTTGGCTAGAGTCAGTGCCACTACTGGTAGCATGAGGCGATACCTGAACCCTACAGAGGTTGCACAGGCAGTCCAACTCACATCACTGCGTGCCATTGCTAGAAGATTTGCCATGTCTCCCGGCACAGACTCGGGAGCATGGAGGAGATTCCAGGAGACAGGCAGTTACTCTAGGAGAGCTGGAAAGGAGCATAAAGGCCCTAACCCATCAGCAGGACCGGTATTTGCTCCTTTGTGCAAGAAGAAACAGGATGGGCACTGCCAAAGCCCTACAAAACGACCTCCAGCAGGCCACTGGTGTGAATGTCTCTGACCAAAAAATCAGAAACAGACTTCATGAGGGTGGCCTGAGGGCCTGAGTCCTCTAGTGGGCCCTGTGCTCACTGCCTGGCACCAGAGAGCTCGATTGGCATTTGTCATTGAACACCAGAATTGGCAGGTCTGCCACTTGGTGCCCTGTGCTTTTCACAGATGAGAGCAGGTTCACCCTGAGCACATGTGACAGATGTGAAAGGGTCTGGAGAAGCCGTTGAGAACGTTATGCTGCCTGTAACATCGTTCACAATGACCGCTTTGGTGGTGGGTCAGTGACAGTCTGGGGAGGCATATCCATGGAGGGATGCAAAGACCTCTACAGGCTAGACAATGGCACCCTGACTGCCATTAAGTATTGGGATGAAATCCTTGGACCCATTGTCAGACCCTACACTGGTGCAGTGGGTCCAGAGTTCCTCTTGGTGCACGATAATGCCCAGCCATATGTGGAAAGAGTATGCAGGCAGTTCCTGGAGGAAGAAGGAATAGATACCATTGAATGGCCCCCACGTTTGCCGGACCTAAATCCAATAGAACACCTCTGGGATATCATGTTTCGGTCCATCCGACATTGCCAGGTTGCACCTCAGATTGTCCAGGAGCTCAGTGATGCCCTGGTCCAGATCTGGGAGGAAATACGCTAGGACACCATCCTTCGTCTCATTAGGAGCATGCCCAGACGTTGTCAGGCATGCATACAAGCATATGAGGGCCATACAAACTACTGAGTACCAGTTTGAGTTGCTGCAATGAAATTTCAGCAAAATGGACTAGCCTGCTGCATCATTTTCTCACTTTGATTTTTGGGGTGTCTTTGAATTCGGTGCTCTGTAGGTTGATCATTTTCAATTCCATCAAACGATGGGGCATCCTTACGTTCCTAAGACATTACCCAGTCCATATCAGTATAGATATCCAGAATGATATTTTTCCCCATTGAAATCTGATGTGTTTTCAAAGTGTTCCTTTCATTTTTTTTCAGCAGTGTATAAACTCCAATCAGTAATGAACAAACACACCGATCATTAATGATTGGTCCCACAGTGATAAATCACCCTACCAGGGAGAGTTTGTATTCTGTGAATGAATACAAACCTTCCTCTGAATGGCAGAGGTGGACAGATGACATCACAATCTCCACCTCAGCCAATCAGAAGAAGCTTTGTATTCATTCAATTGTAGGTGTAGCGCGTAACTATCACCTTTACATATTTTAGGCAGTTTTTTTTTTTACATTTAGAAATAAGACAGAATATCACAGTAAGCTCTGTAGCTAAAAGTACACAGCAATATCTTCTAGAAATTAATTCGTACCTTGTCTTCAACATTCTCCTTGGTGTGAGACAGCTGCTTCAGCTCCTTGTCCAATGCTTCCAGTTGCCTGAAATATTACACACAGCACAAATTATTATGCAGATTTACAACCTGTCTAAAATCTGCATAATAAATGAAACAGCCCTACATTTTACCAGTATGTAACCCATTGTACACAATCACAAAACTAAGGTACTTAGTGCAATGCCATAGCTTCAAACCAGAGTCTCACTTCTCATACTGAAATATAAGCGTTTTGTTTTGTCACTTTCTATCATCTCTAGTAATTTGGAAAATCTAGCTTGGAGAGTATGACCTATTATAAAGGATGTGGAAGTTAAAAGTACAGTTTAACGTCACTAAAATGTATTTGTTCCCAAAAAAATTGAGTTTGAAAAACCGCTGCGTAAATATCGCGTGACATTAAAAAATTGTGAACATTCACCATTTTATTCCCCAGGACCTATGCTTAAAAATATATAATATTGAGGGTTTTAAGTAGTTTTCAAGCAAAAAATTATGTTTGTTACATGTAAGAGAGGAATGTCAGAATTGGTCTGGACTGGAAGTGGTTAAAGAAGAATTCATGGAAATGTTTCTTCCCATGCACTGGGGCAGTGACCGCACTGCATGAGTTAACTGCTCTTTTTGTGTAGGGGTGAGAGCGGAGATATACTTACATAATCAGATCCACACCGTGCAAGACTGGTCCCTGTTACTCCCAAACCATACTCACCGCCAGGTGGTCTAAAGGTATTGTGCAGTAGGCATTTCATGATGTCATTACGCCCATAGACCAGCTCTGAATGTGAGGACAGCAGGAACATTCCACCACTGGATGTGGGCGAGCACGGTTTTTCTGGAGGATGGGGGGGGGGGGGAATATAGCATTTCTATGAACCCCTAGACAAAACAAGCAGGTAACTAATTCAGTGCAGGCACAGCACCACTGCATGGAAAAACAATTCCCGGAGTTCTGCCTTAAAAGCTGATCTTCAGCTTTTAGTGAAGTATAAGTAGTGCATTTTAGTGATGCAACTGAGCGTGCATTTTGCAAGCTCAGTTGTAATAATTTTTCATTTTTCACAGAGCTTAGTGAATCTAGTAAAGCTCTGCTGATTTCCATCATCCAATCATGTGCAAGCAAAAATTCTGTTTTATTTTTTTTTTCCCCTTGCTCTTTACAAAGTGAAGCTTCACCACATTAACTAAGCTCTGGGGAAAATTAGTGCAACAACACAATCTATTTTCCTTTAGTAAATTCACCCCTGAATGCAGCATCTGCTACATACAGTATACAATGCTGTGTTTTGGCAGTGAGATGAGAAACTCCTCTCCCACTCCTGGAACAAAATTGAGTTTGTCTGAGCGCTGCTCAGCCACTCACAGGAAGTTTTGTATTTTTTGAATGAATAGAAAGCTTCTTCTGATTGGCTGAGGCAGAGAGGAGAGCAGATGACATCACAATTTCCGCCTCAGCCAATCAGAGAAACCTTTCTATTCATTCAGAAATACACAGCTATCAATGAGTGGCTAAGCAGCACTCAGACTGACTCAATTTTGTTGCGGGAGTTGCACTACCGGAACACAGTGCTGTATACTGTTTGTAGCTGATGCTACATACGGTGCATAGAATGTACACAGTGCTCCCAGCAGGCACATGTATTAGTGAAGCAAATAGTTAATTTGGACCAGCTGGGTCCACAAATATTTATAATTTTGCTAAAAGCTGGAGATCAGCTTTAAATGCCAAACACATAGCCATAACAATGGGTTGAATTTGGGTTCTATCTTGCCTGAAATACAAATTCATCTCAATAAAAAACTTTAAAATCCTAAAATTGAAATAAAGAAAAAAATAAATAAAAGCCGCACAATACAGGTCAAATGCAGCCGCAGAGCCATCACATTACACCATTGACGTAGATGACACCCTTCTGGCCTGCGTTTTAAGTTCATGTGAGACACAGAAAAAAGCCTGTCTATATGAGCTTATCTATATCCCATTGCACTCTCTCTCTCTATCTATCCATTTATATCTGACCCTTGGCGACTGCATGGACCGTCACTCGTAAGCAACTTTTTCCATGAATTCTCTTAGCAATTATTTTACAGGGTAGGTTGCCAGATCTTTCCCCAACCCCTACCATACAGGAAATCCCGCGTGGCCAGGGATGAAACTAGGACAATTTAGGCAACAGCCAATTAACCTACCAGCAAGTCTTTGGAGTGTGGGAGGAAACCCAAGCGAACACAGGGAAAACACGCAAACTCCATGCAGGAGGCGCCATGGTTGGGAATTGAACCCATGACCCAATTACTGCAAGGCAGAAGTGCTAACCACTAAGCCACAATGCCGCCCTCCCATTGCACACGTTTCTGGAAAAATGACTCATCAATAGCGGGTGCTACAAAAACTACCAGCTGGATACTGGAGACATCACAGATAAATGCACATATTCGCCAGCACACCAAGGAACTCCAAATGTAGTCCGAAAGGCTTCACATGCCTGACAAAGGGGTCTTACAAGGCTCTGAAACGTTGCACTTGTTCCTTTGTGATGTGATCTTTCTGCAATAAAAGCCTTCTAGACTACATTTGGAGAACCTGGGTGTGCTGGTGAATATGTGAATTCTATATGAGCTCTTATCATGCATTCACAAAATGTTCCCATAAAATAATGCAAGACAGCTAAGAAATACATACTTTAATGTCTCATGACGATCTGGGTGATTCTGTATCACTTTAGCTAATGCATCATACTCTGGAAAGATAAAAAAAAACAGTTTAAAAATCTATAAAACAAACTTAATATTATTGAATCTACTAAGTAATATGTGCATCACCATCACAACTTTGCAGAGACTGAATACCCACTGTACAGTTAAAGCTGAACTCCAAGTGAACAACCTAATACACATTGTTATGTCCACTCAATTGTGTGCTTTATGCACCATTCTCCCACTGCATAGCCAGGTTAGTGACAACTTTTCTCCAGTTGGCAAATTACAGCTTGGTCATGGACCAGTCCCAAGGCAGCTGATTGGACAATGAAGTGACCTTGTCACACTGATGTGGTCATCGCTCTGTTCTCTATCTTGTCAGCAATTGAGAGGTTTTTAATTGTTTTTCAACCTAGTAATTTATGAAGCTATGTCTATCAAATTTAAAGGTGATTCAGCGAGCGCTAAGATGATGAGAACATAAGCTGCTGATACACTACAAGGAAACCATATAACCTCTTGAATATATACAATATGAAAAAGTGCAGCGCTAATAAACAAATTAAATGTGCTATATCTGAGACTGGCCACACCCTCAATAGACAGTATGAAGTCCATAGGAACAATGTCCTGTAAATGACAAATAGATGAAATGGTGACTTTGTTACTCCCAGTGAGGCACTCATAAAAAAAGTGTAGGAAATATAAGAAATGCGCACTCACCAGATGCACATTAGGTAAGCACTATAAATATTGCGCTTACCTAATGCGCATCTGGTGAGTGCGCATTTCTTATATTTCCTACACGGTTTTGACGAGTGCCTCACTGGGAGTAACAAAGTCACCATTTCATCTATTTGTCATTTACAGGACATTGTTCCTATGGACTTCATACTGTCTATTGAGGGTGTGGCCAGTCTCTGATATAGCACATTTAATTTGTTTATTAGTGCTGCACTTTTTCATATTGTATGTCTATCAAATTTATTTCAAATACAAGGGAACTACATACTCTGATAAAAGGTCTCTCTCTATTCATATGCCCTCAACAGTTCTTTCATAAAAAAAACAATGTAATTTAAATTTACTGGCCCTTCATCTTTTTTATTTTAAAGGATAAGTTCACCTTTTGGTAAAAAAAAATAAATATACATTTTTTTTGCAGGTAAAAAATGTGCATTTATTATTTTTTTGCTGCAGAAGCCTGTAAAGCATTGCACCAACAATCGGTAGATCGCTGGTGCCATGCAGGTCTCCTGCAGATCTGTCAGTATATCTGCATGCCTGTATAGGATGTACAAGCAGGCAGATATACTGACAAGAAGATGCAATGAACTCCATAGCGCCATGGTAGTTTATTTTGAACTACAAGCCGACAGCGTCACAAAGGAGTGCAACGGCCGGGCGGGTGGAGCCCCGCACGGCTGCATTTTTTTAAATTTGACAGCGGTCAAAGCAGGGGATCAGCAGGGAGCAGGGGCTGATGCTTTCATAACATGTTACACCCTGAATATGGGTGTAATGAACTTATCCTTTAATACAGGACTAAGAATTCACATTACACTTCCTTGATCAACACCACTACCTTAAAAACTTTAGATTAAGGCACACTGAGCATTTTGGCCACTGCACATATAGACTTTTAGAGGAGTTTAGAGGCAGAATAAAAATCCACTGACAGCGCATCCAGGAGCAGTGGCGTTTTGGCAGGAAAAAAATGCTTGACGATTGTAAACGTGCTTAATCACTTGGCGCATTTAGCTTTTGAGTGTTAATTAATTTAAATGAAAAAAGTGACGGAACGCGTAAGGGGCGTGGCTCTGAGCAGACGAGATTACTGAAACCAGCTGATGGGATTCACAGCCTGCATTTGGTGATTTTATGTTTTAAAGCGTTTTTATCTTTGAATACATGTGAGTGTAACACTTTTTCAATAAATATTACTGGGAGTTTTTCTTGTTCCTTTTAAGATGGATATATGAGACCTTCATTGCGCTTAAAGGGACCGATCCCTAGCTCTGATCTGACAGTCAAATGCACATTTAAGATGTCTGATTACTACCATATGGCTATGGATTAAGAAATTGGAAAATCTTCCTGTCTATTCGTTATGAAAGCGCATTTTCATGTGCTCTAAGGTGAGAGTTCTGTGGACACAGAGGTGGTACCGTTTTTTGATTTTGCATAATCTCACTTGATGGGCTTTGGGACATTAATATAAGAAGACACCACAAGATTTATTGAAGAATTGTTATTTTATCAAGATTGTTTGATCTCTCAGTGTATGATCTAAATTTGGGACAATTTATTTAGTTACGCTTTTTTGTACAGTGTGTTAGCAGCGCAGCATCACTTGTTTGTTTATAATTCATTTCAATGACGTGAATTGGCGCCAATGACGTGAATTGACGCCCAATCGCTTAACACATCTAAACGATCTACAGACTTTTACAAGGGTCAAGTGTTTTTTCCTGCCAAAACACTGCTGCCAGGAGGAAAGGCTTCAAGGCAAAACGTCCAGTGTGCATGAGGCTATAAACATTAAGGTTTAGCAGTTTAAAGCCATACCATATATTCTGATCTTATGTTCCATAACACGTGGTCACACATACACTATAAGGTTCAGCGTACAGTAAAAACATGTCATACCTTGACGATTCTTTCGGATCCGCTTGGCCTGTAAAATCTGTTTCTTACATTCAGCTATTTTCTCATGTGCTGCTGCAATACTGCTCTCTGGAAAAGAAAAATCAGCAGGTCATTCTGACATCAAACTCTGTAAGCTGTTTTTTTATCTGAGAGCCTCCATCCACTGATTTATAACTGCTAAGTGAAAACCATAAAAAAAGATACAAAAAGATAAAAAATAAACAAAACAGTCACCTAAGATGACAGCCTCACTTAAGTGGGAGTGACGTCCCACATACCTTAAAGTGGTTCTAAAGCTAAAATGTTACTTACCTTGATTACTAAACCCAGGAGCCTGCATTCACTATATCTGGTCTCCCCGGACCCTGCATTCACTATATCTGGTCTCCCAGGACCCTGCATTCACTATATCTGGTCTCCCAGGACCCTGCATTCACTATATCTGGGTGCTCCCTGGACCCTGCATTCACTATATCTGGTCTCCCCGGACCCTGCATTCACTATATCCGGTCTCCCCGGACCCTGCATTCACTATATCCGGTCTCCCCCGGATCACCTGCATTCACTATATCTGGTCTCCCCGGACCCTGCATTCACTATATCTGGTCTCCCAGGACCCTGCATTCACTATATCTGTCTCCCAAGACCCTGCATTCACTAGATCTGGTCTCCCAAGACCCTGCATTCACTATATCTGGTCTCCCAGGACCCTGCATTCACTATATCTGGTCTCCCAGGACCCTGCATTCACTATATCTGATCTCCCACAGTACACAGATCATGGAAATGCAATTATTTTAGTAAATATAAACTGCTAAATACCTTTTCTCATCAGTAGTTAGAGCAGTCTTGTAACTTCTGTCAGTGTTCAGCAGAGCACTGGTTAAGCTTGTAGGAGTTTTCTCTAGGAGGATGTCGAACCCCCTGACCTCTGTCTGGACAGTGCTGATTGGCCCTGTGCTGATCACACACATTCTTCCAAAAAAAAAAACCCCTCTCTAGCAATACACACAAAACTGAGCATGTGCAGAGTGTCTCCACATGATATGTCTTATCAGGAGAGAAGAGGGAGACACTGGAAGAGGAGGATCAGAGAAGTCAGGATCAAACAGTATTTTTACACAATGCAGAGGATTAACCCTTTAGGTTCCACAGTGAGTATAACAAGCATGCTTTACTGCATATACAGTTGTGGGTTTAGTTACACTTCAGAGGAAAAAAAAAAATTTTACAACTTGCTGAGCTCCCCCACCTCCCTTAAATACTTAACGGAGTCCTCATTCAAATTCACACACACACACACATATATACACGCGTGATTTTCCATTTCCGGCCAGGAGGTGCGCGCAAGCTGCGCACGTGCCCTACCCGCAACAATATTTCTGGCCTCGGCTGTCAATCAACAGGTCCCAGCCGGTGATTACTCACCGGCACCCAGTGATTGAGGAGCATTACTGACGGAAGAAGAAAACTGTATGAAGACAATACAGTTATCTCCCCTGTCAGGTCCTGCACACTGCTAAGCATGCCTTTGCATAGCAGAGCCATACATAGCAGTGTGTTTACAGTGAAAAACACACACACACGTTAGTAAAACAGCACACAGTTAACCCTTTGATTGCCCCACATGTTAACCCCGTGCTGCCCAGTGCCATTAGTACAGTGTCAGTGCTTTTATTAGCACTGATCTTTTGCATTACGGCGTATTGGTGTCACTGGGGATGTCAGTGACACCAAGTCAGTTCCCCCCCAGTGTCAGAATGCCTGCCGCAGTACGCTATAAGTCGTTGGCCTACATTTATGACGAAATGTGATTTTTTTTTTACTGAACATGTTTAATAGCAAAAAGTCAAAAATATTGTTTCTCTCTCAAAATTGTCGGTCTTTTTTTTTTTATAGCACAAAAAATAAAAAAAACGCACAAGCGATCAAATTCCACCAAAAGAAAGCTCAATTCAGGGAAAAAAAAAAAAGGACGTAAATGTAATTTGGGTGCAGCGTTGCATAACCACGCAATTGTCAGTTAAAGTAACACAGCGCCGTAATGCAAAAAATGCCCTGGTCAAGAAAGGGGGGTAAATCCTCTGGAGGGCAAGTGGTTAACTCACAGGGACTGAGGCAGGAACCATTGGCTCCTGCTGCTGTCAATCAAATTCTGTGAGAAGAAGGTGAGGCCCAGCCTTGCTGTGTGTCTATGAATCAAACTTGCTCATCTACCCCCATAGCAAGCGGTTTGCGGGAAAGAAGACAAGCGGACATCGCCAGTGGAGGACCTCAGAAGAAGAGGTTTGGGGCCCAATCTGTGCAAAATAATTGCAGGTAAGTATAACAAACCTATTATTTTAATTTTAAAAATTTGACACGGAAAATGCTTTATAAATGCACTCTGCTAAAGGTGTCTTCCCATGATATCTTGGATCCTGAACACCTACAGAAGGCCACCGGAAGCTATAGTTTAAGGTGATTTTTTTTTCTTTTTCCGCTTTAATTGCACATTTTTTTAATTGACATAAGGAGGGATCCCAGAATCAGAAGAGCTTGCATTAGTGTGTACTAGCTATGACTTGTGTTTTTAAAAAAAAACTTGAACCTGCCCATTTTTTGCCATCAGATTTTCCCAAAACTGGTGAAATTAGAGCACAAAGTTAACACATGCACACCTTCAGGGACACACAGTTCATTCTTGGTGACTGGCTGCTCAGATGCCGATTGCTGAACTGCGAGAAAGGCAGGGGACATTTTATGTATATCCCATATCTGGAAGTACTAGACTTTCTGAGGTTTACCCTCGATGCAGAAAACTTTTTACTCTACCTAGTATAGGGTATTGGCTCCCTTTATGTTCTATATTTCAGGATGCATTCACATATCAAAAATGAAGTTAAAGCACACTCTAATGACATGTAAACATTTCATATAAACTGACTCAAAGTGTAAGCAGGAAATGGATTTCAATCCTTGCCTTCATTTTCTACACAACGTGGTCTCTGCCAGCAAAATCCCTTAAAGCGGAGTTCCACCCAAAAGGGGACATTCTGCTTTAAAGATTAGTTCCCCGCTCCCCATTAAGGATTGGCACCTGAATTTGACAGGTACCCACTCCCACTTCGATCGCCTAGGTGATCGGAAATGGAAGTTGTCCTCCTACCCTCCCTCCCTGAAGTCTTGTGGGACACGTGACAGGTCCTAGAAGACGACAGGGCCATTCAGGAAGTGCAGCACTACTCGCGCATGCGCAGTGGGCACCCGGCTGTGAAGCCGCAAGCTGTCACAGCCGGGTGCCCACACTGAAGATGCCGGCCTCCTGGAATACAGGAAGGCTGGTGAAACGGGTGCGGCGGGGGCAACACGGTATCGTGGGACAGGTAAGTGGCTGTTTTTTTTAAAAGTCAGCAGCTACAGTTTTTGTAGCTGCTGACTTTTATTTTTTTACAGAGTGAGTGGAACTCTGCTTTAAGTTGCTAGCAACCTCATCTTCTGAATGGTCTGGACCTATGAAATCATACACCTGAAAAGTTCTATAGTTCCTAGTACTGTTCCTTCTTTGGCACCAGTGGTTTAGTATTAGCATGTGTATATTAGATATCAGGAAAAGCTTTGCTGGATTGTTCCTTTAGACCTGGTTCCCACTGGTGCGATCTCAGATGCTATTTGAGTCGCACAGAATCGCATGACAACGAAAATCACATTATTCTTTATGGTGCTCGGTTATATCCACGCCGTCCAGCATGGCCGTGTTTTTGGAAAAGGGGACTTTGATGGGACTGTAATTTGGCTACAGATACCTCAATGGAAACATATCAAAAAAGCAAGCACATGCATTTTTGCAGGTTATTAGGGCTTTTTATCAACCAGCATCAGGTCTCCTTCTCCTACCAAAAAGACGCAATAGTATCAAAAACACAACCAAGTGGCACTACATAATTGCACTGACAATCGGATTAAATTGCAGCTGTAGTAGTGTGAACACAGCCTTAAACTACAGGGGTCTGTACTGTGGTACCATTATGTACTCTCAGGAGCTGGGAGACAAAACTTGGGATTATGAAAACAGCATAACTCTCATATTCCAGACTTCAGGTGACCTCTGTCTCCTGACACTCAAGTTGGAGTGCCAAGCTTAGAGAAAATAGAAATAGAAAGGGGTCAAAAGAAATTTTAGAAATTTAGGACTGAATTTTTAATTTTTATATATGTGCCTAACAGTGCTCAGTTCTTTTCAGTAGCATATTCTTTAGGAGATTTTATTTTCAGTTCAAGACATTCTAGGACCCCATATACTTGCATTACCACAACTAGTTTTTGCACATTAAGGTGCACTGCATTAACACAGCTCATTTATTTTGAACATACAGTATATTGCACATAAACAAGACTAAGGAAGGGTCAACACATGCTTTGAACCCTAATCTGTGGCCTAAAGTTTTAGTAATGAACACAAGTCTGTACCTTGCTTTTAATAGATAATGTCGCAATAACGGCATATTCATCATATTTTGGATGTGTCTATTTTTGACCTAGCAAGGCACCTTAGCACACAAAAACATCCTCTAGAAAAATAATAAAAAAAAAAAAAAAAAAAAAGCACCACCACCCATTACTGTAGCAGTGAGCTGCGGAACCCACGTCCAGTGCATGGCACTGTAAATCACTTTGGTTTGTGGATTGCAGTGATAGGCAGTAAAATGTATCAGTGTGCTAGGCACTTACACTTTCAGACAGAAAATGGTACACCAACATGCACCCCTCCCCTGCCATGTGTGGAGCCCACCCCTGATCATCAGCTGCTGGGAGTGACACCACTGAGCAGCTCTGAAGCTTCCACCTCTTGGCCTACTAAACCTGTTTGCTCCAGAAACCCACTAAAGGCAAACAGGTTTGGCAGGTTGGGCTGTGTTACACCAAACAAATCCACAGGGGTTCCAAGTACAAACACCCCCACTTGTCTATTTGAAGCAGAAAACATTATTAAAATGCAAAACAGGGCAAAAAGAGTCTATTTGAGATTAGTTAGGACCAAACTTCAAATACGGAACAAGTACATAACAGATGGAGAATTCAGCATTGCTCATCCTTACCAATGTCACTGTAGATCTTCTCATAGTTCTCCATTTCCCGCAGGTTCATGTCATGTACAAGGAGAGTTTTTCCCATGGAGAATGAACACTGAGACAAGTGCTAAGCATCCGCTGGTATTGGGTGTATCTGGAAAATTCAGAGAAAAGTGTGAAAACATATAGCTGGAAAGTGAAATTTTATATAGAAGTGGTTTTTGGTCAGTGTTTGCAGTCCTTGGTCAACTATGTACACCCTCAACCTCTGCTAAGTCTAAAGAAGGCCAAACAATATACAATTTGTTTTCCTGCAACCCCTGATTGCAGGAAAAAAAAATAAATAAAAATCGCTCGATTCCACCATCAACACAATTAGTATTGATGGGGGCATCCCTCCTGCAGCACTATTGTTTTCTTCCGGCAGGGAGCCTTCCCTGCCGACAGAACACAATGACCACGCCACCAGCAGTGATTGCATGCAGAAAAAATTAAAAAAAATCTGACAGGCTGGTTGTACTGAAGTTGATCAAAAAGGACCAACTTCAGTACAACCATCCTACCCGCAGATGGATCGAATCTCAGTTGTTCCCTGCTGAACAGGACAGGATTAGATCCATCTATGGCTGGCTTAAGTAGTACCTGAATTTCACTACCAGAAATGAAAGAACAGAGGTAATAGAACTGTGGACCAAATGCCTTCTATCCGTATTTTTTTTTTATGCTCAGCGTACCCCACTGGTGTACTCCTGATTGTTTACCAGTCAGAAGAAGTACATCAGTGGTATACACATCCTTTAAGAAACACTCATTTAAAATGGACCTGGCATAAAAAGATCGGCTTGTGCCATTGCCTTATTGCCTGCCTGTAGATTACTTTTACTTTTAGATGATATTTTAGCGTTCTGCTTGTTTTGAATTCTTTCTGAGCTTAGGGTGAGACTCCTGGGAAAGCAATAGAAGTCAATGGGCAAGTGTATTTCAGATTTTGTTAGTGTATCATTGAACCAAGCTTTACATATTGGGATACATGGGGGGGGGTGAAGAAAGTGGATGTCTATGCACATTTCTGACTAATGTGAAAGGGGACATTACTAGAATTTCCTTTAAAAGAGAATCACAGGTTTCTTGGCACTCTAAATAATTTGTTTGGGTCAGTTTGGACCATAAAAATGATATGCATACCAGAATGGAGTGGCTGCTGCTTAAGCTGTATACTGTATTTCCTTGTGCTACATAAGAAAACCACCGTGTCCTAGAGACTTCCCCTCAACTGCTGGATACTGGGGTCAAGGGTACTGGATTTCCTGACATTTGGGACAGAAACAATTGATAGATAGATAGATAGATAGATAGATATAGATAGATAGATAGATAGATAGATTGGATGAAGCTTTGTATTTTTTCATTGAATACAAGGTTTCCTCCGATTGACCGAGGTGGAGATCCTGATGTCATCTACACACCTCTCCACCTTGGTCAAACAAAGGAAGCATTGTATTCATTGAAGTAAACAATCTCCTAAATAGTGGAATATGGGAAAAATTACTCGGTCTGTATCCAATAGTGAAGGTAAAGTCTCTGGTACTGCTGCCAGAACACATGGCTGCCTACTGTAGTAGAACAAGTTACTATAGTATAGTACCGCCTTAGCAGCAGCCTGTCCACTCTGGCATGCAAATAACTTGCTTGGTCCCAGCTAGCCCAAATAACTGATTTAAAGTGACAGGAAGCCTGGAATTGTCTTTAACGCTTCTTTCAAACTTGCGTTACTGCTTAACTCCCTCTGAAAAGCGATCCACTGTGGATTGCTGTTCAGAGAGCAGTGGCTCAGAAGGTTCTATTGCTTTTTTTTTTTTTACTTATTTGTTGAATTTTATATTGTAGGACCATGTGCAACTGCAAGCCGAGCATTTGGCTCACTGTTGTGGTACAGCCACTCTGAACTCAGTGAGTGCGTTTGACAAGCAGTGCTGCATTACGAGTTAAAAATTCTATGCCTGAGGCATGTGTGCAGCCCTGTCCAGCTGTATTGTTACAATTTGGGTGGGCAGCCAAGGAGTAGTAAAACCATGGCTCAGCCACCTGTTTTTAACGACGCCCAGCCACTTGTCAAAAGCTCCCTTAGGCAATACATAGTTTATACAGTCTTTCAGTGAGATAATATTTTTATCTCATATGCGAGTTTGTTTTAAGGCCTAGAGAATGTTTTTTTTTTTTTGTTTGCTACTCAAAAGGAACCATTATTCATTAGATAATGGATATTTTATAAAAAATCAATTTTGTGCCAACTTTCTGAAAACTGAAGAAATCTAAAAAGTCACAACATATAATGAAAGGTTTCCATTATTATGAAAGAACTACTATGTTTTATATCCTTACCCATCCTCCTGAGATCCAGAGTTACACCATTTTATAAAACTTTTCACCAACAGATTGATTCTTCGGTCATCACCAGCGCCATCCCCATCAATTAAAAGACGTTTACGAATAACTTCATCTAAAAAAAAAAGATACATTTAAAAAAATTATGTTGTTTTGTTTGTCAGAAGTTATTTAATATCAGAAACAAAATGTTTAAATCTTGTAAAACTTCATTACTAATAAACCGGGATGAGTGAAACAAATGTACCCAAGGCCATGCGGTGATACGTACTGAATCCAGCTACACATTTGGTACCCAAAAGAAACCAAACACAAACACCAACATTCCACCCTCACCACCTGGTTTATGGCTAGTTCACATGGGAAGCATTGAAGCGATGAAAGCAAAACTGCCCACCCAAACAAAGAAATACAGTCACTCAGGGATGTACACAGTCCACGGCAAAAATGGAATGGCATGTCGCATTTGGCAAACCCAACACAACAAACACTTTACTCCTGCGCTAGGAAAGGACTCAGTAGGAAAGGACTCAATAGGAATGTTCTGGAATATGCACTGCTTGCTGCCCTCAACAGACTGGGGTGGTCCGAATACACTGGATATAAATGGAGAAACAGAAAAAGGGCGCACCGACCTAGTGCATTATCGTTTAAAATAATTTATTGAAGAAACAAAATAGGTATCATACTCACAATGGACATAATAACACAGGCATGTCAAACTGAACAAGATGTATGATCCAAACAACATCTGAGTCCATATAATGGAACCCTGGATGACCAACTGGCTAACGCGTTTCGAGGACACAGCCTCTTCCTCAGAGTCAACCTGGCTCTGAAGCATAACAGTGCCTTACACAATAAGGCTTCATGCACACTTGAGCACGAAAATTGACGTTTTACTTTTTTTTTCCCTACCTCTAAACTCCCTTCTATCTTAGCCTATGGGGTTGATTTACTAAAACTGGAGACTGCAAAATCTGGTGCAGCTGCATGGTAGCCAATCAGCTTCTAACTTCAGCTTGTTCAATTAAGCTTTGACAATACAACCTGGAAGCGGATTGGTTTCTATGCAGAGTTGCACCAGATTTTGCACTCTCCACCAGTTTTAGTAAATAACGTCCTCTATGTCCATGTACACTATAGACATTTATAAGAGAGTTTAGAGGAAGAAAAAAAAGTCACCTGTGCATTCAAAAGAGAAGCATTTCACATGAAAAAAAAAAACCCCACCAAAACACGCCTTAGCATTAGGCACATCTAGCTCTTGTTTATTCATTTCCATGGCCAAAATAAATAATATTCTGGACAATGAAATGAATGCCCAAGCGCTTGATGTGCCTAAATGTGTTTGCAAAAACATGGCTGAGGAGTGTTTTTGAAGCTGCTTTTCTCCTGCTGGGAGAAAACCAGTTAGACTTAACGGCAACTCATTTTTTTTAAGTCTTCCAGGCCAGCCCCTTGAGACGTAGAGCTCTTCCCTTTGGGACAGGAAACGCGTAAGCCCAGAACCTTAAAAAGGTGGACCTTCAGGCCTCCCTCTTCAGTTTTCCCAAGAACCAAAGGAAGGCACTAAAAGACATAACCATTTATGCATAAACATACATTAGGGTGGGAAATCCCGGCTATCCTGGAAGACTTAAAAATGAGTTACTGGTAAGTCTAACTCTGGTTTTCTCAAAAAAGTCTTTCAGGACAGCCCCTTGAGATAATAATCAAGAACTTACTCACTAGGGTGGGGCTACTGCTTGGAGGACTTTGCGCCCAAATGCTTGATCCTCACTAGAAAGCAGATCCAGGCGATAACATTTCACAAAGTTAAAAAAGCTGGACCAAGTGGACACCTTACAAATCTGTTTTGGTGAGGCACCAGCTCTCTCTGCCTAGGATGCTGACAAGGATCTGGTTGAGTGTGCATTACCAAACGGAGGCAGAATCTCTAATAAATTATATGATTCCAAAATACCCATCCTAATCCATCTGGCTATGGTGGATATAGAAGCACCGAAACCCTTCCACGTTCCCGCGAAAGGAACAAAAAGAGAATCAGATTTTCTGAACTCTCTGGACCTATTAAGATAGGCCAAAAGGCTCCTTCTAACATCTAACAATCTTTCATCCTCCTTGCTTACGAGAGCAGAACAGACGGTTGGCAAAATTATATCTTGGGACCTATGAAAGGAGGAGGAAACTCTGGGAAGAAACCCAGGATCCGTTTTGAGAACAATTCTATTCTCAAGAACTGACAAAAAGGGTTACCTAATGGAAAGCGCCTGTAATTCACTAACTCTACGGGCTGATGTGATTGCTACCAAAAAATACAGTTTTAAGAGTTAAAAACTTTGTTGAAGACTTTTCCAGAGATTCAAAGGAACAAAGCTTTAAGGACTAAAGACAGATCCCAAACTAGACAGGACCTGACCACCACCAGCCTGGACTTGGAAAGTGTCAGGAATGGACTCGCCAATAGTGGTGGGACTCACCTGCCTTGTGGGTTGCAGTACCAGGACTGGCCAGCGGGTGCTCTCAGCAACCAGAGGCTCACTCCTGCAGTCAGCCAAAACACCTGAGGCTGATTGCAGGAGGTGCATATAAGGAATGGCCAGACTTGCAATCAGGGCCTTGGTGTATGTTTCCCAAGAGCCCCTGTCTCTGATTGAACTCCGCCTGTCCTGACCTCTGCTATTCCTGACCACTCTCCAGTCTGCTCCTTTGGTACCTTGTCTGCCTGATTGTTCCTGACCCGGCCCGTCTGACTACGCTCTGCCTGCTCCTTTGTACCTTGCCTGCCCGACTACGCTTAGTATTGTTCTTTTGTTATCTGTTGGGGGTTTTGGTTTGGTTTGTTTGCACTGTGTTTATGTTTAGTCTTGCACTGCGTTTATGTATTGTTTAGTCTTAAATAAATTATATTGTTTATACTATATCTGAAGCCTGCGTTTCCCTGTGTCAGTCCACACACCTCTGGTCATACCCGGAGCCCTGACAAAAAGGGCCCTGAAAAAAATAAATTACAAAGGGATCCTCTGCTGAAGAGGGACCTGAAAGAAAACATTAAGGGCCGAGGCCTGCACCTTTAAAGTACTAACCGAAAAGCCCTTATCTGCCCCATCCTGGAAGAAATCTAGGACCGCTGGGATATCCAGAGGGCTCCGACCCTTATCCGACAACCAGGAGTTGAACCTTTTCCAGACCTTAGTATAAATAGCTCTGGTTACTGGCTTGAGGCAGTTCACCAAAGTCATCACTACTCTGTCAAAAAACCACTGAGATTTCAGGAGTTGTTCTTCAGTAGCCACGCCACCAACTTTAAAGTCTTCACCTGAGGGTGTAGCACTGGACCCTGAGAGACTAGATCCTCCCTCTCTGGAGGAGGGAAAGGGGGATCAAAGGAAAGGCTCCACAGCAGAGAGAACCGTGGTCTCTTCGGCCAAAATGGGGCCACCAGAATGAGGTTTGTCCTTTTCGCCAAAAATGTTTGCAGCACTGATGGGATCAGCCTCACTGGTGGAAACGCATAACAAAGACTGAATTCCCACACATTTGTGAGGGCATCTACACCCAAGGCCCGATCCCGCAGATTTAGGGAGAAGAACTGGCTGACCTTCCTGTTTTCTTGGGAAGCAAAGAGATCCACCTCCAGCATGACCCATTTCATAGTGATAGTCGCAAACACTTCCTGGTTGAGAGACCATTCGTCGTGCTTGACTGGATGCCGACTTAAAAAGTCGGCTAGGAAATTCTGGGTTCCCTTCAGATGGTTGGCAGATATCGAACACAAATCTTGCTTGGCCCAAGACAGTATGCTGTCCACGATTGCTTGGACAGGAAGACTTCTTGTACCCCCGTTTGTTGATGTATGCCACTGTAGTCAAAGTCTGAACAGATCTGCAGGTGACAGTCTATTAGATCTGCCTGAAAGGCATCCAGCGCTCTCTGGACTGCTAGAAGCTCCCTCTGATTCAAGGACCTCCAACCTTTCCCCAAGGACCACGACCCCTGGGCCGCTCTGCCGCCTAGATGGGCTCCCCATCCAAAGCTGCTGGCATCGGTCGTGATGATAGCCAGATATGGTGTGGTCCATTCCAGACCCCAGACTGGAAGATCCAGTGCAGACCTGTCCCGTTCCAAACCCTCAGAAGAAAAGACTGCAGTGGGCACTGGTGGAATCTCGCCCAGGGAACAGCCAGGAAGCATGATGTTATGAGACCTACTGCCCTCCTGATATCCCTTATTGTAATGGCCAAATTGTTCTGCAGCTCTGCCAGCACCTGATCTAGTCAGAGAGCCACCCCAGACTCTGAAGGAAGTCCTGGGCAACACGCAGATCCTGTCAAATGTTGGCGAGACCTGGCCATGAAGAGCAGATCGTCCAGATAGGGAATGATCATAATAGATCTCATTCTTATGGGGGCCAAGGCCTCCACAAGCACTTTCGTAAAAATTCTTGATGCAGAGGCCAGACCAAAAGGTAGAGCCCAACACTGGTGGATTTCTGTACCAATCCTTACCGCTATCCTTAGGTATTTCTGACATGCATGCTGTATGGAGATGTGAAGCTACGCATCCCTCAGATCCAGCGTAGCCATGAAACAATCTGGGTAAAGGATGTTTTTTTACAGAGAACATCGATTCCATCCTGAAGTGTTTGTACCTTAACCACTAGCCTACAGGGCACTTATACCCCCTTCCTGTCCAGGCCAATTTTCAGCTTTCAGCGCTGTCACACTTTGAATGACAATTGCGTGGTCATGCAACACTGTACCCATATGACATTTTTATCAATTTTTTTTGTGACAGATAGAGCTTTATTGTGGTGGTATTTAATCAGCTCTGGGTTTTTTTATTTTTTCTTAAACAAACCAAAAACCACTGAAAATTTTGAAAAAAAAAACATTGACAGTTGGAACTGATGGACACTGACAGGTGGCACTGCTGGGGCTACACAGATCATCAGGGCACATTGATCATCAGTGCTCTTATGATCTGTGTACATGTCCCCTCCAAGGAATGCCCATTACCGGCTCTCCTCTCATTTACTTGAATGGGTCTACACTGACAGGTGGTAGCACACAGCAGAATCAATAGTGGGTGCAATTCCTGCTGTGGCATGTGTACACCTTTGGCTGCTATCTCAGGAGCTAAAGAGGGTAGGGATTGAGAGTGGTAAAACTGACTCAACCACAGGGTTTTACCACCCCCCAACTTTGTGTGAACGAGCCCTAAGCGTGCCGAAAGCAACTAAGGGCTCATTCACAAGTGCAGCAGACACTACTGCTCCTCTGCAAAGCGATATAAGTATGTTTGAAAGGTAGTGAGGCGATATGTTGATATGTTATCACCCAATTTAACCACTTGACAACGGGGCTATAGCCAAATGACGGCTACAGCGCTGTTGTCCAGTTCTGGGAGGGTGTCATATGACGTCCTCCCAAAACGCGTCCCCAGCAGCTTGCCCTGGCGCTGTCTACGGACACAGCCGATCACATGACAAGGTAAAAGGCCAATCAAAGGGGCCTTTTACCATGTTATCAGCTGTGTCCAATGACACAGCTGATCACAAAGTAAATACAGTTGCTGGTTATCGGCACCACTTTCCTCAAGGTGTCACAGTGTGAGGAAAGTACTGTCGATAACCGGCAAGTCTCACAGAGGACATCTGCACTGATAATCAGTGCAGCCCCAAAAGTGCCCATCTATGCTCAGCAATGCCACCCATCATTGCCACCCAGCAGTGCCGCCAGTCAGTGCCCATCAGTGGCACAGCATCATCGATTCCCACCAGTGCTGCCTCATTAACACACATCAGTGAAGGAGAAAAATATACCTGTTAGCAAAATTTTATAATCGAAACAAAGAAAAACTTTTTTTTTTCCAATTTTTTGCTCTTTTTTCGTTTCTAGTGCAAAAAATAAAAACCTCCAGTGGTGAATAAATACCACCAAAAGAAAGCTGTGTGTGTGAAAAAAAAAAAGAGTCATATGAGTACAGTGTTGCACGACCGTGAAATTGTCATTCAAGGTGCAACAGAGCTGAAAATTGGCCTGGCCAGAGGGGGATAGTGCCCGGCAGGAAAATGGTTAAACCCATGATTGCTGTGACACGGTAGTACAGCAATTAAGAGGTTTAACCGCCTCCCGCCTGCCATATAGTACAATGATGGACGCAAGGCGGTTCTCTCGTTCTGGGAGGACATCATATGATTCATATGGACATCATATGGTTATATTCTAACCGCGCATGCGCGGCTCTGGGAGCACGCAGTGTGTGGTGATCGGTGGTGCGCTGTGTCCTTCGGACACAGCAGACCACCGATCAACGGAAAGAGCTGAAGATGTCGGCTCGGTCATGTGATCAGCTGTGTCCAATCACAGCTGATCACATGTAAACAGGGAAATGTCGGAATTTCTCTCCTCACGAGCTGTCACGCTGACAGGAGAGGAGAGCCGGTAATCGGTATTCCTCGGTGGGGACATCTACACTGATCATCAGGGCACTGATGATCAGTGTGCCCTGATGATCAGTGTAGCCCCAGCAGTGCCACCTGTCAGTGTCCATCAGTGCCAGCTATCAGTGCTCATCCATGCCACCTGCCAGTGCCCATCAGTGCCACATTAAAGTGCTTACAAGTGCACATCAATGCCACATATCAGTGCCCATCTGAGTTGCCTTTCAGTGCTACCTATCAATGCCAGTCAGTGCCACCTATTAGTGCTGCCAATCAGTGCCACCTATCAGTGCCAGTCAGTGCAGCCTATCAGTGCCATATATGAGTGCTGCCTTTCAGTGCCCATCAATGCCACCTATCAGTGCCTCCTCATCAGTGCCACTTATCAGTGTCCATCAGTGCAGCCTATCAGTGTCCATCACTGCAGCCTCATTAGCGCACATCAGTGAAGGAGAAAAATCACTTTACAAAATTTTATAACAAAAACTAAGAAAAAACTTTTTTTTTTCACAATTTTCAGTGGTTTTTGGTTTGTTTAAGAAAAAAATAAAAATCCCAGAGGTGATTAAATACCACCAAAATAAAGCTCTGTCACAAAAAAATGAAAAAAATTTCATATGGGTACAGTGTTGCATGACCGCGCAATTGTCATTTAAAGTGCAACACCGCTGAAAGCTGGAAATTGGCCTGGGCAGGAGGGGGGTATAAGTGCCCTGCAGGCTAGCGGTTAAATCAGATGTGAGGAGGTGACACTGTGCCCGGGGAGCTTTGATTTCCCCTAAGGCCGGCCATACATGGGTAGATTTTTGAACGATTTTTCATTCGAAAATCGGACCTAAGAATAATCGGCTGATTTTCGCTCTGTTACTGGGGCAATGGCACCGGCCGATTTTTGTGGTTCCTCCCCATTTCGTTTATCGGGCATGCTGGAAAATTCATGAAAAACAACCAATTTTCGAAATCATTGGTGGCACCATCGGATTACAGAACAAACAATGTTTTCGATTTTCAATTGAAATATCGTTCGGAATTCGACCTATGTATGGCTGGCCATTCACTGTAAAATTTTCTTGAGAATTTTGCTTTAGATTTACCAACAACCATATAATACGAGGTCAAACCTAAACACTTTCAATTGTATCCAATTAGGCAGGCTCTTGCAGTACATAGTTGAAGGTAAATTGGGCAGAAATTGGACAGAAAATTGTATAATGTATGAGCAGCCTAAGTTGTTCAGGTCGATCTCCACCAGTTGCCTATCCCTGGGTTAGAAGAGCCCCAGTATACATGCGGCGTGAACCCCACGTTGTGTTCGGCAGGCAGCACCACCTCTGAATGCCACCCATTCAAGTGAATGAGGCCACGCCATGACTGCCCTGCAACTGTGTCAATGCATGCTGTTGCAGTGCAGCGGTTCGGCCTTTTCAGGGTTACAACAGGTGATATATCGCCCACAGTAGATCGCTTTTCAGAGGGTGGTGAGGGCTTCTGTATGAGGCTGTAGGTGGAGGTCACCGGGGAACATAGAGGGTGAAGCATCTCCTCCACCAAAAAAACAAACAAACAGACAAAGTTCTGTCTGTCTGTCCACCTCAGTCCTCCCCTCCTCCACAATGTTGTGCTTGGATGCAGTAATGGACACCCGGGCTCCTGAATGCCTCAATGTTCTTCTAATCATTTTCTGAACATCATATTCTCAGAATAAAGTCCATGGAGGACATCTAGGGGCCCATGGCCTGCTCTCCTCTCCCGCCATCCCTCCTCCAGTATAATCCCCCCCTCATGGTGGAGAGGACCCCGGACACACATATCCGGCCCTTTCTTACACTAGGAGTTCACACACATAATAATATAGAGACGGGGAAACACTGAGGCCCGTACTCCCGGGCTCCCTCTTTCCTCACTGCCGTGGTGTAGAGTCTAGGCCGCGAGAAACTCAGCTTTCCGATCCCGGCCCAGCGCTAACTACAACCCGGGGCTGCTGTGCGGCCTTTGCGGTGACCGCTGTGTAGTCTCCTGGGCGGGGGGGCCGCTATGGGGAGGAGCAGGGCCTTGACTTACCGTCGGTGACGGCTCCCATGTCGGCGGGTAGTGAGGTCAGACTCCCACAATGCAGCAGCCGGGGACAAGTATGGAGGCCGCACACACCGGGCCGAGCTCTCTATAGGTGAGGGAACACTGGCGGGGGGCAGGACACGCCGCCCCGAAATACGCTGACTGGGGCCCTCTACACACCGGGGGGCATGTGCGGCCTGCGAGGCATGCTGGGACTTGTAGTGCGGGAGGGCCGCAGGCGGCTCAGTCAGCTGGGGTCATCTGAGTACAGGGGCTGGATGGGTCAGGACGGAGAGTGGGCGTGCATGCTGGGACTGGTAGTGCCTTGACTGCTGGAGGGGCGCAGGGGCCCACCATAGCCATGTCTATACATATTTTGTACATGTAATGTCCATACATAACTATATATCTGGTACTGGGGGCTCCTCTACTGCTGGAGGGGTGCAAGGGCCCACTATGTCATGTCTATATATACTCTGTACATATATATCTCAAACTGGGGGCTCCTCTACTGCTGGAGGGGTCAGGGGCCCACCATGTCATGTCTATATATACTCTGTACATATATATCTCAAACTGGGGGCTCCTCTACTGCTGGAGGGGTTCAGGGGCCCACCGTGTCATGTCTATATATACTCTGTACATATATATCTGATATTGGGGGCTCCTCTACTGCTGGAGGGGTCAGGGGCCCACCGTGTCATGTCTATATATACTCTGTACATATATATCTCAAACTGGGGGCTCCTCTACTGCTGGAGGGGTTCAGGGGCCCACCGTGTCATGTCTATATATACTCTGTACGTATATATCTGATACTGGGGGCTCCTCTACTGCTGGAGGGGTGCAGGGGCCCACCATGTCACGTCTATATATATACTCTGTACGTATATATCTGATACTGGGGGCTCCTCTACCGCTGGAGGGGTGCAGGGGCCCACCATGTCATGTCTATATATATACTCTGTACATATATATATATGATACTGGGAGGCTCCTCTACCGCAGGAGGGGTTCAGGGGCCCACCATGTCATGTCTATATATATTCTGTACATATATATCTGATACTGGGGGCTCCTCTACCGCTGGAGGGGTGCAGAGGCCCACCATGTCATGTCTATATATACTCTGTACGTATATATCTGATACTGGGGGCTCCTCTACCGCTGGAGGGGTGCAGGGGCCCACCATGTCATGTCTATATATACTCTGTACATATATATATATGATACTGGGGGCTCCTCTACCGCTGGAGGTGTTCAGGGGCCCACCATGTCATGTCTATATATATTCTGTACATATATATCTGATACTGGGGGCTCCTCTACCGCTGGAGGGGTGCAGGGGCCCACCATGTCATGTCTATATATACTCTGTACGTATATATCTGATACTGGGGGCTCCTCTACCGCTGGAGGGGTTCAGGGGCCCACCATGTCATGTCTATATATACTCTGTACGTATATATCTGATACTGGGGGCTCCTCTACCGCTGGAGGGGTGCAGGGGCCCACCATGTCATGTCTATATATACTCTGTACGTATATATCTGATACTGGGGGCTCCTCTACCGCTGGAGGGGTTCAGGGGCCCACCATGTCATGTCTATATATACTCTGTACGTATATATCTGATACTGGGGGCTCCTCTACCGCTGGAGGGGTTCAGGGGCCCACCATGTCATGTCTATATATACTCTGTACGTATATATCTGATACTGGGGGCTCCTCTACCGCTGGAGGGGTTCAGGGGCCCACCATGTCATGTCTATATATATATTCTGTACATATATATCTGATACTGGGGGCTCCTCTACTGCTGGAGGGGTGCAGGGGCCCACCATGTCATGTCTATATATACTCTGTACGTATATACCTGATACTGGGGGCTCCTCTACTGCTGGAGGGGTTCAGGGGCCCACCATGTCATGTCTATATATACTCTGTACGTATATATCTGATACTGGGGGCTCCTCTACTGCTGAAGGGGTTCAGGGGCCCACCATGTCATGTCTATATATACTCTGTACGTATATATCTGATACTGGGGGCTCCTCTACTGCTGGAGGGGTTCAGGGGCCCACCATGTCATGTCTATATATACTCTGTACGTATATATCTGATACTGGGGGCTCCTCTACTGCTGGAGGGGTTCAGGGGCCCACCATGTCATGTCTATACTCTGTGTGTGTGTGTGTGTGTGTGTGTGTGTGTGTGTGTGTGTGTGTGTGTGTGTATGTATATATATATATAATGATAATAGGAGTCCCCTACTACTGGAGGGGCGCAGGGGCCCACCATAGCCATGTCTATACATATTTTGTAAATGTAATGTCCATACATAGCTATATATCTGATATTGGGGGCTCCTCTACTGCTGGAGGGGCGCAGGGGCCCACCATGTTATGTCTATATATACTCTGTACGTATAGATCTGATAATAGGAGTTCCCCTACTACTGGAGGGGCGCAGGGGCCCACCATGGACATGTCTATACGTATACACAGAGTATATCTGGTACTAGCGGGTCCTTCAGTGCTGGAGTGGTGCAGGGTGCCCACCATGGCCTTGTCCGTACATACTCTGCGCATATGCTGTACATACATACCTATATACACTATATTGCCAAAAGTATTGAGCCGCCTGCCTTTACACGCACATGAACTTTAATGGAATCCCACTCTTAGTCCACAGGTTTCAATATTGAGTTGGCCCGCCCTTTGCAGCTATAACAGCTTCAACTCTTCTGGGAAGGCTGTCCACAAGGTTTAGGAGGGTGTCTATGGGAAGGTTTGACCATTCTTCCAGAAGCGCATTTGTGAGGTCAGGCACTGATGTCAGATGAGAAGGCCTGGCTCGCAGGTCAGGACTCTGTGCAGGCCAGTCAAGTTCCTCCACCCCAAACTCGCTCATCCTTGTCTCTATGGACTTTGATTTGTGCACTGGTGCGCAGTCATGGTGGAACAGGAAGGGGCCATCCCCAAACTCTTCCCACAAAGTTGGGAGTATGAAATTGTCCAAAATGTCTTGGTATGCTGACGCCTTAAAGCTAGATTCACATCTGTGTGGGTGGTGCTGCTGTGGATCTGCACGAAAATCTATGCAGCCGCACCACCCGCACAGAGTACTGCAGACCCGCACTGTGGAGCTGCCCGCACTGGAAATGCAACCGTACTGGGAACAAAGGTTCCCGTGCGGGCTGCGTTTTCGGAAGAAGTACAGGAACTTCTCTACGGGGCATGGGAGTCCATTCAAATAAATGGGCTCTTGTGCCTGCGCAAAACACGGCCGCATATATGTGAACCGGGGCTAAGAGTTCCCTTCACTGGAACTAAGGGGCCAAGCCCAACCCCTGAAAATCAATCCAACATC